ATCTCAGCTCGGCTCAGGCTTGGCGCCAGGGGGGCTGATCGCATCCACCAGCTTGTGGCGAGAATAGCTGCGATTTAAATACCGGTCATTGAGCCGGAGCACATTCACCAGGCCACCACTCTTGGCCACGGCCTTTCGCATCCGGACCATCACATGCTCAAAATACTCTTCACCCATCTTTCCATCCACATCAACACCGAAGAGCCTCAAAAACTCTAGCAGGTTCAACATGCCCGAACCGTCCGTATCCGCAAAGTAGAAGAGCCTTGTAAGCCTTTCTTCTGGCATTGATGGAATGAACTGGCGTATGAGATTTCGAAAGGCTGCCTCATCGATGCGACCCTGTGCATCTGCATACTTGCGAAAGATTTCATACATCGTCCTGCCAGATGATCTAGCTTGCCCAGACAAAATGCTGAAAACATAGCCCGCCCACTTTGCATCCAAGTCCTGGACTGTCTCAACGTTCAGTCCAGCCTTTTCCAAGCGTGCCAGAGGTATACAACAAGACTGGCGACAGGACAAAAGGCTTGTTGCATTGTTAGAAGTAGGGTCTTTGCTGGGTGCTGGGTTTTGTCTTTCTAGCTTCCGAATCCTTTCGTAGAGTTTCGACATTTCAGCACCTCTGTTGTCGAAACGCGTTTTCAAATCTTTGTAAGCCTGCATCAGCTCTTTCAGTTCACGAAATGCTCGCAGTTCAAGTTTCTCATCATCTGCTAGCCTTTCCTCTGTGTCCTCCTTGGTCTCCGGTTCATGCTCGGTTCGTTCAACACAAATTCCAGAGGCCACTGCAGATCCTGGTCTTGCTCGGTCTCTCGTGGCAGGCAAGTGGCGCCTCTTTCCATAGATCCGAGCACTTCCCAAAGTTCCGATTTTGGGTCCCTTGGGTCTTGTAACTCGGCTCGGCGCTTCAAGCCAGGGTTCTGCTCTTGCAGCTTCGCTGGCCTCTGCTCCACCAACCAAAGATGTCAAGTCGCGGTTTCTCAGAGAGTACATCCTGTGCCATCAAACCGCCCGGTCTGAGTTGAAAGAAACTGAAACCGCATGTGTTCTGGTCTGATTTTTGCTCTTCTGGTCTTTTGTGTGTGTGTGTGTTTTGTGTTTTTGCGCGGGTGTGTCTTTGCGGCCATGTTCATGCGTTTCGTGCTCCGTCCCTCTCCCTTTCGGATCTTGGCATAGAGGAGAATGTCCTTATGTCCTTTGTTCTTTGAGCTGTTGAGCCTATCTTGAGGAAGGCTAAACGATGTTTACAGTGCATTCATCAGGGTGCAAACAACACAACGGAACATCGGCAAAGCATTCTCAGATTGATGACTTGACCTGATCAAACTCATGCTAAGTCTAGTCAGGATTGGGCAAGCCTCGTCTTTGGAGGCGTGAGTGGTAGGCAGTGCTCCCTCCTAACAAAATCACTTCAGCCTTCTTGCAAGCTTTGCAAGATCAGAACATCATCAGAACATCAGATCACAACACATCAACTCAGCTTTAGTCCCAGGCAGGGCTGACAGCATGCAGGTGATGCCTCAGTAACTGCAAGGAATTTCGATGCCTCCCATGCCCAAAGGTGAAGCATCCCCGGCTCTTGTGCAAGAAACACCATCAAAGAAGCCTAAAACAAGACTGTTTCAAAACAGTGCATGATTTCACGCTAGAACAAGGTTTGAACTTGCATGACAACAGGTGAGCGGTCACTGCGATTTCAACAGACGAGTGCACCATGCACAAGTTTGCCACACTGTTTACCACGTGCATTGTTGCAGTGAAGGGGCAACCTAGGTTCCTTCGAATAAGCAGTCGAGAGATCAATCCGCGCGGTTGCGTTGACTTGACAGAGGGCTGACCGACCCACCAAACATCACCAGAAATCGCGACACATCGCTACGCAAAGCTTCACGAACTTCTGGCAGGCTGGAATTGTGTCAACAAAATGAAGAATTATATATATAATACATCTTAGCATCTTAGTACTGGTAGCATTAAACTCACCATTTAAGGGCTAGCGCCTATGCTAGGGTCACACTGCTGTGGCTGGATGAAGTCGTAGCTTGCCAAGAGGTGGGCAGCTGCAGCTTGTGCTCCACAGGTTGCTGGGTTGTGTGGAGGTCAAACCGGTCAACACTGCCATCGGGGCAAACACTGCTATATAACGGTCAACATTCCACACTAGCTCGGACTGCGCTTTCGCGGCAAGCATTGCACTTCGGAACTAAATACAAACCTAAGCAAGCAGTGGCATTGGAGGAGTAACAGCAGAAAAGGCCAAGGAAGGAAGATAGATAAAATGAAATACTAAGTTGCAAGAAAAATGCAAAGCAAGGACAAAACAGCAGAGCAAAAGGGAAAAGGACATGTCAAGAAAAAAATGTAAAGAGGCAAAAACAAATACTCCGGGGAAAAACAACATAGACCAGAACTCAATTTCAAGTGCGCCTTAACAGGCAATTTCTGGACCCTCACTAACATGGACGGTTCCCACTCTCAGTCTATGATCGATGCGGACACTAACATGGACCAACTGCAATCTGACTATAAACTGTACGCAGGCTAACATAGACCACGCCGGTAGGGATCAACATGGCCCGGTGGAGGCTAACATGGACCATGTCACATACGTCTAGGGGCCTCCTGAACATGGTCTACGTTAGTCTCAACCGAGGTACTGCAGGTGCAAAACTACACAGCTCTTTCAGCACGGTGGAGGCCAACATAGACCATGCCAAACACCAATAGGGCCTATCTGAACTTGGTCCAGGTTAGAACGCAAAAGAAGGGTCCATTGCTAGCAGGTTGGGGGCCATTGCAAGTTGGTTAGAGGCCATCGCAAGTAGGCCTTAGTGGGGAGACAGATGTCATCACAAATCTCATGGGGAGAGACAGGTGCCAAACTAGACAGCTCTTTTATCATCTATAGCCCGGTGGAGGCTAACATGGACCATGCCACATACCTCTAGGGCCTACCTGGTGCATCATTGGTTTTTCAACGTATTCTTTTTTGAAATTTTTCATTTTTCACAGATTGCTTCAAACCGACTCCAAACATCAATGGAAGACAGGAAATGAAGGAATTACAGCAGAAAAATAACTAAGAATCAAAAACTAACTAGCTACTTTTTACACGTTTTCTCCTCTCCCCTTGTCTGTGTGTCTATTCCCTTAACGGGGAGACACAGGGAACTCCTCCAGGTCGTGCGTGGGTCCTTCCGAGTTCCCTGTGTCTCCCCGTTTCCTCTCGAGACGTCACGGGTGTCGGACTCACCTTTCGCCGTCGGACCTGAGACACAGGGAGACGGAGACACCGCACTGAGAAAGCGGTCCTGACCCAACCGGGTAGTGTCGGGTCGGGATGCGAACCGTTGACGTCTCTGAGTTTTCCGTCTCCCTGTGTCCCCCCGTTAAGGGAATAGACACACACAAGGGGAGAGGAGAACAAGTGTAGAAAGTATCTAGTTAGTTTTTGATTCTTAATTATGTTCCTGCTCTAGTTCCTTCATTTCCTGTCTTCTATTGATGTTTGAAGACATTTCTTAAAATTTTGGATTTTCCACAAGCCGGAGTCAGGCTTGTGGCTAACATGGACCAGTCCTACTCTCGCAGACTCTCGCTACTCTCAGTCCACGGTCCAACCTGACACTAAGTTTTCCAGATATCGAGTGAGGCATGTGGCTAACATAGGCCACTTCCACTCTCAGTCCCTGGTCCACACTGACACAAACTTTCCACAAACCTGAGTCAGGCGTGTGGCTAACATGGACCGTTCCCACTCTCAGTCTATATGATCGATTTTGACACTAACATGGACCAACTGCAAATCTCACTATAAACTGAACGCAGGCGCTACATAGACCGCGCCTTAGAGGTCAACATAGCCCGGTGGAGGCTAACATGGACCATGCCAAGTAACCGTAGGGCCCACCATGGCACATCTGAATTTGGTCTAGGTTAGTCTCAACGGTGTCCGCTCGGAAACTAGACTAACATGTGCCAAAAAAAGAATATGTTTGTTGCGAAAATGTTAGTTTTCACCGGTGTAGAGAACCTGAGTCTCCTTAAGAAGGTGTCTCTCTCTCTATGTATGTATATACACATGTACAATGTACATGAAATGAGAAGAACTCACCACTTGGCAAAATTCCAGGGTGGATCCTCAACATCTCGTGATGTTCCACATGTTGCTTTTTCCTGCCATGCTTTGCTACCTTCTGTCTTTACATGTCCCGAATCCGCCGCTTGGTTGTACAAAATTGTAGGTCCTTTTGCTCGCCTGATCCTAATCTAGCCAGAACTGACTCAGCAAGTTGTATATAATTCTGCGTAAGTGAACTCCCTGCACGTGGGCATGTGTGTGTGTGCGCAGGTTTGCATGACTCTGAACTCTGCTAAACCTGAACGGTACGTATGAGCCTAGCCGAGCAGGATGTCAACTCTACGCCAATCAACATGTGTTGCGTCTCCTCTTGGCTTGCGCAGAGAGCAAAGCACTGACGCATTCGCACATGACATTCACACGAAGCACGCACTGAGGCTGGTGCGTCTGCCCGTCACAGGCTCCAACATACACTCGATCGTCCGGATTCCAAGCTTCAGAGTCCCAATATGCGCTGCTACCAGACCTCTTGACGTTCATTCTGCTACGTGTCCCTCAGCCACAGCAGCTCAAAATGTTACAGTCGGGTCTAACACTGGAATCAGAAAACTTGGAGTGCAAGACTTAGCATGCATTTGGAACAGCGGCACAAGCAAACGTGACACTCCGGTGTATCCCTTTTCGCCATTGGTATGTCCACGACATCCCAAGCCAATGTGAGACAGTTCTAGGCATCATTGTCATTTGGCATTATGGTGCTGGCGTTTACCAGTCAGGCCACGCTTCCTCAAAGCTGGATAAAGCCCGCGCGCGACGTCAAGCTGTTTGTGTTGACTTGATCTATTTTAACAAACAAGTACGGGATCCAGGAATGTCCATGCCTAGCTAATGCTTGTTCATTTCTTCACTGCTAATGCTTGCCGGCGTGTGGGCGCATTTTTTCCGCTCAGAAGAGACACCCTTCAGTATGGCTGGGGGCGCCTCAATGGCACAGCGGCAGAAAATCCTGCTAACTGCACTACATTTGTGGAAGCAATGAGCCTCACTTCTCCGTTCGGACTCAGACCCGGTGCCTCTTAAGTATCTGAGGTTCGCCATTTAAGTAATATTAAACACATGCCCCTCAACAAATTACAGTAAGTTGCAGGGCCTTAACAATAAGTTCTCAAACCTGAGGGTCAGACTCTGAGGTGCTGTTATCTTCCTTTATGGGGCCACCGCTTGTGCCTCCTTCCTCGCAAAGCACACACGCATGACATTTGTTCTTTCCAAAGAACATATATACCACCAAAGCCAAACTCAACTGGAACTAACATGGAAGTGGAAGATGGACCCTTGGAAGACAATTGTCCTCTACAAGCAGGGGGGTTTTCCACTTCCAAATTAGTTCCAGGGAGAGTATTGGGAGAGTACTCCAAAAACATTCAACATTTGTTTTGTCCTCTGCATTCGGCAGGCTCGGAGCGGATGAGCTAGTCGGGCCGCAATTGCCGCCATCACCACCAGCTGGACATCCGCCGCAGCCACAGCCGCAACCGCAGCATCCTGGACAGCAGCCGCAGCCACACCCGCAGCCTTTGCCGCCGGGACACCCGCATCCCATCATCATGGGATTCATCATGCCGCAGCAGCCACAGCCCCCGCACCCACAACCAGGGCAGCCAGCACAGCCTGGACAGCCTGGACAGCCGCCACCGCAGCCGCTGCCACATCCGCCGCCACACCCTCCACAACCACCACACATGCCGGGCATGCCGCCCATCATTTGCATCATTCCCATCATCTGCATCATTGCCTCAAGTTAAAATTGCAATGCTTGCCAAAGTTCAACTCAACTGTCAAGTGCCGGAAGGCTTAACTTAGGCCCACACCCCCATGGCTGCCATCGGATTAGCCTTGCTCAGCACCAGCACAAACCGCCAAGTTTCAAGCATGACGGCATGCACATCCGCAGATGAAACAAATACGGTATTTGACCGCCTGAGAATCACCAGGCTTGTCATCGCTGTTAGCACTCATATTGGCTGCCGCCTCCCAGGTTGGAATTCCCTCTTGCAAGGTCGGCCTCTTGAGTAACTATGTTCCGGGGAGAAAGGTCCGGTCCTGAAGATAATTTTCGGACCATTTTTCATCATAATCTTCAGCAGACTCGACTCTAGAATCGTCCTGTGCCAAGAACAAATCAATCTCATGCATTAAACTCAATACATCACTGTCTGATCAAAACCAGTGGAAACCAGTGTCCTTCTTTTGCCTTTGCCTTGCCAGTTCCGCTGCCTCCTATCAATGCTGGAGTTGTATGTCAAACGTTTGTGACAGTTGCTGACGCAAATCAGTCCTTTGCTCTTTCCCGGTTTTTGTCTTCGGTAAAGGCAGTTCCACCATGCGGCTTGACTGCCACCCATTTGTTGTCAATCCTCAAGGAAAGGGATGCGTTGCGTCGGAACGGATTTTCAACCTGAATGCTGGAAAGAATCATGTGGCTGGACTGCGCTTCTAGAACCTTGGGGATTGACTCGACCTTGGAATGCAAACGGCATCTACCACACAAAGCTCTTGATGTGGCCCACTCACACAAGTGTTGTTCTTGCTGTGCAGCGTGCCTCGACAAACTTGACAAAGGCAAATCCTCGCGAAGTGCCATCTGGCAGCCTTTTGATGTCGACCTCAAGATTTGCCCCGAAAAGCAGTGCAGCAGGCTATATGCGCGAGTGTTCGGCAAAGCCTGTTGATTTTTTCCCCCTAGAATCAGTGTTGAGGCCATCACGCTATCCACTTGCCCAAATTTGGAGAAGTGACCGGCAACTTTATCCTGAAACAGTAAACTGTCCAGCCCAGCAAGTGCCACGCTTTCTGCTACGGCGTAGCTGCTGCCTCCGTTGTGCTCTTTCGCAATCCACCCACAAAAACGATGTTGCTCTTGTCATCCTCTTTCTTTTTCTTCACTCCCTCATCACCACCAACAAAGTGTTCAATACAAACCGGGAGCGGATTCATCAAACATAAGACACACAACTTGGGAGCTGGGCTGCAAGCAAAACATTGACATTGACCAATTTTTTAAAATACGTATAATGAAATTCGTGCAAGCTACTGGCGGTGCATTTTTGTTTTGGTCATTTGCTGACGGTGCTGCATTGGCAGGCATGCTGCCGCCCATCCTGAGAGCACTGCAATTCATTCACCCTCAATGTGCCCCCACGCATTTCGGGCTAGGCTTGCTGCATCATCATTTGCTGCATCATTTGCTGCTGCTGCATGGGATTCATCATCCCGTGCCTGCGTGCAGTGTCAGTTGCACATCAAACAGTATATGGAGCCGCCTCCTCTGGACATGCGCAATAAAAAGTCACCGGCCACAATGCGCAATTGAACATAGAAAAACCAACAGTGCCATTTCTATTTGGAGCCCGGGATTCAGAACGGATGTTTTGGCTGCATCCAGCCTTAGCAGCTGCAGCTGCAAAGGGAGGGCCCGGCAAACCAACCGATCTAGCTACTGGAACTGTACTCACCTTGAGATCAAAACACTTGCAGTAAGCAAGGGCACAGTCAAAGAAAACGGTCCAAAACCAAACAAACACCCGAATGCACGCCAATCTGGCGTGATCATCCGGTGGCATAAACACTTGTAAGGTACAGGTTTACCTGAAAGGGTGGCATTTTTGGTTTTGAACAAGTCGTTGACCTAAGTGACATAGGGGCGGGTAGGATGTTATTTTCCTTGTGAGGCTGCGCCGGGCATCACAAACAATATGGGTGATGTTTTTTGCAGCAACGCCCCACGGATATTCACGCCGCTCCGCGGCAAGGTCGGCCTACACCGCCATGAAACAGTTGCCCAACAACAAGGTGTCACTCACACAGCCTCGAAATCAGAAAATCTGGCCCCCCGGTTTTCGCGACAAAACACACGAAAAAAAAAAAAAAAAACGCGTCTCAAAACCGAAAATCGAAGACGAACAGTCAAAAAAACACAGGTTTTTGCTCACGCTTTGCATGTTGGTCTCCCTACAAGTCAATAGCGAGTTGGAGATGGCATGACGCAACAACGATCGTAGAAGGTAATACGCCAGAAGTGTGCGCCATAGTCATTCATCACTTTATTTATCACAGGCGTTCATTATGTTGCCATTTAGTAAGTGTGGATCCAAACAAATTGTTGCGTTCAGGTATGAGCATTGCATCTACCGAAACACCGTTATTGACAGTCTTTTCACACACCGGAAAGCAACAACCACTAGGGGTAGCGAGGTTTTTGAGGCTGACGTTGCCAAAAGCCCCACTATGTACCGTTTTTTTGCCGGGTTTAGCGCTTTGTGAGGCAGAGGCGATAGTGTCCTTGGAGGTGCCTCTGAACAACGTCAGCCTTTTGGGCGAAGTCAACGATTGGCTGTATGCGAGCATGCGCAATTACGCTTACATCAATTTGGTACGATAACAAACACTAGAAATAGTAGCTAAGGGCAACTAGCTTGAAACCACTGCAAGTAGCGATGTTTTTGAGTTTGCCGTGGCCCAAAACACCGTTAGTTACATTTATTTACAATGTTTTTGAACCAATAAGCATTGCAATTTGTGACGTTTTCAACGACATGGTCACCAAAGACACTGCTATTTGCGAGGTGTTTTTATTATTTTCGCCGAAAGACGCCAAGCCTTGGCAATATACAAAATCGCTGAGAAACAATATTTCTGCCAAACAAAAATGGCTAAAACCGTCACCCAAACAGCCGCGAAATCACAAATCTGCCCCCCCGGCCTCCAGACAAGACACGTGAAAAATTACACCACCGAAGCATTCCCAAGTCCACTTTTTGAGACATCAACAAGAAGGGATACAAGAAGGGAGGCAAAAGGAAACAGAAGTGAGACGGACACAATGGCCAACAAGAAGGGAGACAAGAAGGGAAGACAAAAGGAAACAGAAGGGAGAGAAGACGGACACAATGACAAACAAGAAGGAAGCAGAAGGAAGACAGAATTGAGACAAGGCGGACACAATGACCAACAAGAAGGAAGACAAGAAGGCCAGCAAGAAGATACAAATGCTACATGGCCAGCGGAAAAGAGCCGACACCAGATCGCCAGTCGAAAAGGGCGGACACCAGCAGTGACAGACCTGCGAGACAGATGAATAGAAATGCTACATGGCCAGCGGAAAAGGGCGGACACCAGTGACAGACCTGGGAGACAAATGAATACAAATGCTACATGGCCACCGGAAAAGGGCGGACACCACCAGTGACAGTGACAGACCTGGGAAACAAATGAACAGAAATGATGACAGACCTGGGAGACAAATGAATACAAATGCTACATGGCGAACGGAAAAGGGCGGACACCAGCAGCGACACCTGGGAGACATGAATAGAAACGCTACATGGACAGACCTGAACACAAATGAATAATTAGAAATGCTACATGGCCAGCGGAAAAGGGCGGACACATGGCATCCACCATGTCGAAGCCGCGCGAGGAAGCCACATGCTCTCCCGCGCCATGAAGCTCTGCCCAAAGCACCCTGGTGCGAAACAGAACATCCTCTGTTTCGAGGATCGACTGCACTTCAGCGTCGTTCGACCCCACTGCACGGCGCTTCAACTTCCACGTTCGCCATGCGAGCAGTGACATCTTGCTCACAGCTCCATCCAGGCACTTGGGAGATGAAGCTAGGATCACCACGCCGCCCGCGCTTCCTCCCTTCTCTCTATTCGAATGGGCTTGGTCTCCCATTCCCACAAAAACCACTTGTTCCCAAGACTGACAGCCATCAAAACGACTGAACTCAACACAAGTCGCTTGGGCACGGCACTCGTTGATGATGGCCTGAATTTCACGGGCGCTCTCTAAGGTGCCAGCTGTGGTGATCTCGGAGAGCAGGAGGTTGCATCGTACTGTGATGAGAGGTTTGCTTTGCATCGTGAGCCATTGGAGAGCTCCGAGGGCAGTGCGACATGCATTGACCTCATGAGGTGCCAAGCAACCTTGTTCTCGAAGGCGCTGAGGGTCGATGTTGATGTCAGCCAGTCCTTCGACGTAGAAGCTCTGATCCACTTGGATGTGGAAGCCACCATCCTTCTCTTCAATGGTGTGCACATCGGATCCTGCACGTCGGTAGGAACCGCGCTTCTTGCTTCCCCAGTTGTAGGAGGAATCAATGAGTTGCACTTGCCTTTCAGGAGAGCTTTCATCACCAATCCGGTGGAAGTCATCGACATGGCCTCCCAAGAGACCAAGCAGGCGATAGTTGCCGGTGATGGGGTCCAACTCATGCTTACTGTACCAGGCCCATAGACAGCGTTCACCTCGGACGGCGCGAAGTGAGTTTCTCATTCAAGCTCAACCAGAGTCCTCTGGGCGCAGCGGTGCTCCCATAGATGTTGCGCACGATCCGGAGGCAGGAGTGCTCTGGTACGCCAAGGGCTGGACGAAGCTCGCTCACTCCAGTGGTGTAGAGTTGATCGTCAGCTTCACTGGGCATGGTTTGCAAGAAGGCAGTTGCCAAATCCAAGCCAGTGAGGCGCGCTGAGGCCAGGTAGGTCATGCGGCGGCCAAGTGTGGAGATCACTGGAGCGCTGGTCTTGAAGTTTCGCTCCAACAATGTTGATAGCCCAAGAGAACGATTCGGGCCTTGGCCTTCCGGCTGATGGTAGCATCCACCACAGTCTCTGGATTGTTTTCTCGATCACGGACGCTCTCTTCGACCTCATCTGGCGGGATTGGCTTCCAGGTCAGGACCCAGCGGGCTTTCAGGATTCTTCCGCTGCCAAATGCCTTCTTCACTTCTTCATCACTGAGACAACGCCGAACGGCACCGTTCTTCAGGAAGGAGTTGACCTCTTTTGCTTTTGCTCTGGTAAAGAGGATGAGATCATCAGGTCCCAGAGCCTTGAGCGAGACCTCGGAGGAGTTCAGCTTCTTGGTCAAGTACATGACCGGATCCAGTTGAAAGCTGCGACCGTCTCTCCGGTTCTTGAAGTTCAGTCAGGTCCAGCTCGATGTGCAGGCACTCACCTTCGTAGGACTGAAGGAAGGTGAACAGGTCATCATGAGTGACTTCTTGTTGGGCTACAGCATGAAGTTGCTCTAGCCATTTGAGGTCGTACTCAGTTCGATGTTCCAGTTTGGCCTTCTTGGCTTCTGGTGCTACAGGTTCAGGGTTGTCATAGTCGCTCACGGCTTCGGACTTGTCAACGACCTCATCCACTTGATCTTGTAGTTCATCAGGATCAGGAGGTTCAGTGGGTGAGTACTCGGCTGTTGGAACTTCAGGTGGTTCAGATCGGCAGATACTGCTTAGGCCTCTGTGGCTCTCGCAGTTAACTAATGGGACTGGAACGATGAGTGTTCTTGTAGTCGGGCTTGAGGTGCGTCTTGACCACTTTGTAGTCAGATGGCTGAAGTGTTGGCTTTCCAACTGCGCGCCGGATCGGTGCCAATGTTGTGGCATTGGGTTCAGGTGGCAAGTCTGGTAGCTCACGATCGCGATCTGTGCATGGGCTCTTCATGGGCGATATCTTGATATTCCCAGGGAATCAGATCTTCCAGCGTCTTCCAAAGAGTCGGATCTTCACCTCACGTTGTAGCCGCTCGGCCTCATTGACAGGCCGGACAGAGTGCACAGAGCATCACCACAAGTCGCCGGCCAACAAGGACCCAAAGTATATGTTGTCTTTGGTCGGTCACTTCTTGATGTGGGATGCTCTCGGCAAAGACCACCCTTCCTGGACCTACCCATCGAGGTCGGCCAGATTTCTTGTGACCTCCTCTGAAGCCTTGATGTTGTTCACCAGCTTGGACCTTGCACCAGATCATCACAGGGTCAGTGGGACTGTATGTCCTCAAGGGCTGCTTGACCGTGGGGTTGGTCAACTTGCTCATCATTCTTTTCGCACGCGATCTTCTCGCGATCTCTTCAGCATCAGCGCAAGCCTTGGACATTCTCAAGAAGTCCTCCTTGGGGTCGATGGCATTTCCACACCCGGATGTCCTCATCGGAGTTGGAATAGCGAGCACCAAAGGCCCATTGATGAGCTGAGTAGCCAGCAGTGAACTCTGTGCCATTCAATGCAGAAGCGGCCAGTGTCAAGGAAAGTGCGGGTGTGTTGTCAAGAGCTTCATGTTGATTAGAATAACACTTGCAACTGCCATGGCTCCAGGGTTCTTTCTCTGGAGGGAAGTGCAGCTGGATGTTCTCCGCCTCGCAGAACTCGTGGAAGCGGGCACTGACAAAGCTTTTGGCGTTGTCCGCCACGATGAGCTTGAGTTTTGGAAAAGGCCAGCCATGCACAAGACCTTCAACGATCTGATCTCTTCCGAGGATTCAGGTTGCATCGCCAGTTCAGGGTACTCCTTGATGAGCTTGACTGCCCGGAGCTTGGTGGCGAGGTCAATGATCAGGATGAAGCGTGCTTTCTTTTGTTGTCCTGGCACAAGCCGCTTGTCATTCAGCGGTGTCAAGACCTATGCACTCCCAGGCACCAGGTAGAGGATGAGTGGCAGCTGGCGGAATCTGTCCCGATGAGGTCCCT